GTTCCTTTGGGTTTTGGCTTTTTCACTTGTACCTGAAGAAATGTGCTTATCTTGGTGGCTGTCCTGGGTTGCATTCCTGGTCTGACTTCCATTTTTGGTATTCTTCAATTTACGCTTAAAGTCTCTAGAGCAGTGGTTCTCAACAGGGGTGATTTTGCTTCCCGGGGGACATCTGGCAATGTCTGGAGACATTTTTGGTTGTCATAACTGGTGGGGGGGGGGTTGGCAGAAGCGTAAGTGCTACTGGCATCTAGTGTGTAAGAGGAGTTCAGAGATCCTGCTCAACAGACTACAACGCACAGGACACCTCCCCACAATAAAGGATTATTCAGCCCCAAACGTCAACAGTGCCAAGGCTGAGAAACTCTGCTCTAGAGACTTACAAATTTGTCCAAGCTGGCTTTTTAAAAATTTGACCTTACAAATAAAAGAAGTATCACTCTGGGTCAGCCTTGTGGATCACGTAGCTTCAGAGAGAAGTACTAAAAAGACACAAAACCTGAAAAATGTCAGAGATCATCTAAACCAACTCCTTATTTGACAGGAGCCACAGACTGAGGCCTAGAAAGGAGAAATACTTAGGGACCCTAGCTTTCACCCACAAACAGGTAGGCAAACTATGGCACACAGGCCAAATCTTGCCCACTGCCTGTGACTGGTAAATAAAGTTTTATTGGAACACAGTCACACCCATTCATTTACATAGTGTATATGGCTACTTCACACTATGATGGTAGGTTGAGCAGACAGAGACCATATGGCCTGCAAGCCTAAAATATTTGCTATCCAACCCTTTACAGAAAAAGTTTGCCAACCCCTGATGTAGAAGAAGGGCACAGCTGTCTCCCTTGATGTCACATCCAGAGCTCAGAGATGTTCCCTAAGCATTTCTCATTTCTCTTAATGTTCATTGATAGACCTTTCATGCACAGGTTTACCCTCATTCGTTGAATAAAAACTTTTATATTTCCACATGGCAGCACCTCTAGTGTTAATAAACACTGTTTTTACATCTCTATCTTCATCTTAACCAATTTTAAGGTTTAAAAGAATGGTTCTTCATTCAAGTATACTGGTATTTGATGAATTCACCCATTCTCTGTTGCTTACTTTATACTCATCATTATTTCATAGACTCTAATCATAGCCCCCTATTTGATAAAAGATTCCTAACCTTAAGTAACTATACCTAGGTATAAACTATACCTTACATAGTGATATCTAAGGTACAACCTTTTCACTTTTCTACCTTTTCACTGCTTAAATTATTGCTGATTCATTTGACAAGGCTTAAGACATGCATGTAATGAGTTACAGCATTAACTTAAAGTTTCTTCATTTCTTAAGACAGCCAATCTTGGGGTCTTAGTAAAGTCAATTTTCGTCTTTCAAATGTCTGATCACCTTCTGGTGGCAAAAGCAGGATGGAACTGAGGGTTTATACTCACTTGTATGGAGCCTCTTTGGACCTTCTGCCACCAATACCACCCCCCTGTGCCTCCATATACCAGTTCCCTCACTCCACTCATCTTACTCTAGAAAGATCAAAATTATGGTGTTACTGAGGTCAGGATCTACCACAACCTCAGAGACCCAAAGAACATGTCAGGGTACTGGAGTTGAGAGGGTCCCAAGAGATCTTCCAATCCAAAAGCCTTCACTACACAGCTGGAAAGACAGACGTACACAGGAAGCGGAGGGCAGAGCGGGGCTAGAACCCAGACTGCTCGGCCACTGCTCTCCCAAGACGATACACTATAAGAAGACTTTGCATTATTTTTCTGAAAGCAGCCAAGGCAAGGATGAAATTATGTCCACAGAGTAACTATTTGAACAGTCTCCTATTTTTAAAATCAGCACTGTAAATTGTGAAAAAAAAAAAAAACATTTTCTTGAGATTAATCTTATTTCCCCTTAAAAAATTTGATTATGAAGTCTTTCCTCGGGCAACTGCTTTCATTAACCAGTTCCCTGCCCTCCGCCTACTCCCACTGGTTTTACAGAACTGCAACAAGCCCTTCCACCTCATGCTGGAAGCAGGTACCTGTGGGCAAACCTGGCAGAACACCAAAGTACAGAGTGACATGGAGGTCAAGGGTACCTATGTGATCCTTCCATGCCACACTGACCTTCCTTTTGGGGGGAAGAGCCATTGGGGTGCATCTGGGCAGTGGACTCTGCGGGTCCAACCTTTTTTTTTT